ATTCCCAAGTATATGAAGGATAAGTGGGTAGAATGCCCAGGAGATGTTGGGAAGCTCAGAATTAACAAGTATGTAAAGTGATATTCATTTTTTTTTCTTCTTCTTTTGGTGTATCAGTGAAGTATAAAGTCATAATCTCTTATTTATTTTATCATAAGCTCTCCAGTTAAATTAATTTTAATTTGATTTTATTTAGGGCCCCAGGGAAGGTGCCGACGGTTACATTCAAGTCCGCAGAAAACTTGATGGATAGCAAGACCCCAAGAGAACACAAATTCATTTTACACAGTGTAAAAGAACAAACTTTAGGGGTGTTTTCACATACAGTCTGTAAGTATTAGCTTTATCCCTCTGATACATTTCCAACAGTATTTGACATGGTTATTTTATATGTTGTGATTTTTTTTTATGAACAATTCTACTCATTTCAGCCAGTGGAAGCAGTGATGCTGTGGTTCCAGAGACAGAGAAACTGTTTATGGAAGGGCAGGTCATCCAGAAGTTTGAGTGTCAGCCAGTTGGTTAGTGGTCTTGTCAACTTAAAAAAAAATATATTATCCGGGTATTGGATAAAATGTATCTGATGAAAGCTTTGGCAAAAATGTGTGAAATGCATTGTGTTGAATTGTTTTTATGAAATAATGATTTGGAGGGAGAGGTCTAAATTTCTTTTTCTTTTTTTTTCTATTCTTTTTAGTGGATACATATTACTTGAACCAGAAGAGAGAAGCTGTGAAGAAGGCAGCCCAGCCATGTCGCCAATCTATGTTCATCCAGAGGCCTGTCACAGTCTACCGTCCTATTGCAGCTCACAAGCATACAGTAAGTTAGTTACTTATTAATCTATATTTTTCATAATTGTTTTTCATATTAATTTATATGTTTAGGTTACTTGTTTCTAATGGGACCCTTAATTTGTATAATTTCTCACCCCATGAAGAATAGTATTGAATCAGTATGCATCTGTTAATAGTGATGTTTAAGAGTACCATAATTTTTTCATTTGTTAAATGATCCCTGCAAGAGTAGTGGTAAGTTACAAATATAAAAAGATGTTCAAGTTAATAAAATGCTGTGGGAATATATTTTGTAAAATGTATTTACACATAGATGGTTCCACAAGTGGTCAGCCACCAAGGAGTCAGTCAGTAGACCTGTGTGACCTCAACTGATTTCCCTTTACCTGAAGTTTTCAGGGAAAATGTTTATTTACTAAGTCTATTAATATCAGTGTTTTTATCACTATTGACAATATGATTATTATAATATTAATATTACTGATTGTATATAAAACAGAAAAGAATATTGCAAAAAAAATAAAGGTAAAGGGCACAACTGAGGTAGCTTGGACTAATATTGACTCCTTGGTGACTAAGAGCCATCTATTTGTTAACACAATTTATAAACTAAACTCAGAGTATGCATGGTGTTTACTTATATGCCATCCCTGTTGGGATTGGTTAACTTAAAGAGCTATCAGATTTATAAGAAAAAGGTACATTCAGCTATACATATGTCATTTCATTTTATATTGCTCTTTGCAGTTTCTAAAACAGTTCCCTAGTCAAATTTATGACACATGCACTATTAAGCCTATCTTCATGTACAAGCTGATCTCATGGGAGAGTATTGCCAATATTTTAGCAGGCAGTTTAATAGTGTGTGGGCTACGTACACTGTAACTTTTAGCCTAAAGACTTGCACTAATGCAATTTAATATTGCTCAATTTACATAATGTTGATGTTGCAGTATTATGTAAGCAAACATATATGCAGTATGAGGTACATAATTGTAAGTATTTTCAACATGTTTTTATGTTTATAGATAAAAACAAGATGAAGAATACTTATAGTAATGTCCTTACTAAACATGGAAATGTTATGGAGGACCTTTCAAATATTCACCCCAAAGGTGTTGAATGTCCACTTGGCTTCAAACTACACAAATTTCTTTCAGATGAGTTACCAAAGACAACTCTAGAACCTGCAGAGGGCACCATCACAATTTTCCTTGTTTTTGGGGGGACTATTTAATGAAGTTATTTAATGAGGTTGTCATCCTCAGTGGCACACTAGTCCCTTTTCTGTTGATTTTTGCATTTCCATATCTAAAGATAATCTTATATCTCCTTACTGGTTCTCCTTACAATTTAGTAGTCACCTTTAAATAATTTTTATATCAAAATAATGTAATATGTATTAGTGTACTCATGTTATTCCTGGGTTCCACTTTGGTACTATGTTTGTATTTTTGGGAGCAGTGTACTCTGCTAGTGTAATAAGTTTGAGCCATTATCATGCACAAAATTGATAGGGAAAAGCAAAAACTCATGGAAAAAGTGCTTGTGTGATCAGGCCTTAAGCCGTGGCACAACACTCCTCTAAAGGCACCATTGTAGGAGAAATCACATTTCAATAACCACTGAAAGAGGAAGGAGAGACACAACATAGTCAATTTGTCTTGACTAATTTTTAAAGTTTTGACGCTGAATTACAGATCAAGGTGTAAACATTTGAAAGACAGGTAGGGTACAAGTTATATTAAAATTTCATCAGTGGTTTTTACATCAGTAGTATTGTAATATAATCTGGTTGTTTTTTTTTTTTTTTTTCTACTAGATTGAGGTAGAAGAACGTAAGAAAGCCGAGGGTAAAAAGGCTCGTGATGATAAGGACAAAGTCATGGAGATGCTCTTTGCTGCCTTTGAAAAACATCAGTACTATAACATCAAGGATCTGCAGAAAATTACACGTCAACCAATTGTAAGTTCTTTTCGTTTATATATTTTGAAGAAAGAAAACTATTTTGCCCACCTTCTAGAGAGGGAAAGCATTCCCTTTGCATGTACAAAATTTTATTTCAACACCAGTATACTATTCAGTCTTTCTAGAGTCACCACTTTTATCAGAATTACTTCAGACAGTGTGAGACAAGATGTATTCTTATATAGAATTTTAAGTAGAAATGTCATTTGAAACTATTTGCTTTCACTTTTTCAACAGTTGTCCTAATTGAACATTCCTCTCTCTTTTTTTTTTTTTTTCTTTCTTTCTTCTTTCATCAGACTTATCTGAAGGAGATACTGAATGAAGTATGTGATTACAACGTCAAGAACCCTCACAGGAACATGTGGGAATTGAAGCCTGAGTACCGGCATTATAAGGCTGACGAGGTAGAGGCCGCAGATGATCCTAATAGTGATTAAGGATTTGAACTTAGCAAAGGCATTGTTATCATAAGGCTCTTAGTGATGAACTATCTTCATGCCATGGTATCATATTTTGTGTTATGGTATATACAAAGAGTTGTTACTTTGTTTTTATCGTCTTTGGAGTAGGAAGAGAGATCAATTTTTTTTTTTACTTATTACTTTTTGGGTAAATTTTATTGATGCGAATGTAAATTAAACAAATTTTTTGTTATTCATTGATGAAATTTATTATTGATTCTATAAAGATGGAATTGTGTAAGGATTCCTACTCATAGCTGCTCCATGTCAAACATGTGCATTTCAAAGTATTAGGCTGTGGCATGATTTTTTTTTTTTTTTTTTTTTTTTTAGATTTCTGTGGTATTACTGTTACAGTAAGGGGTTTTAGCCTATAGAAATGTTTGAAATAATTGAAGACCTTTTCTAGATATAATAAAAAAAAGCAAGGTTTGATGCACTTCATATTTCCTTTTAAATATCTATATATAATGAAAATAATTTTATAAAGTGAATTATCCTTCATGTTCTACTATTAAGGAATACAATGAAGTTCAGTAACTTTTTTATTACATGATTGTAATGTTTAAATCACTTGTACTCATTATTACATCTCATCTCATCACAGGAAAACGGAGAGCTAATTTTTACATTAGTGTTAATTTTTGAAATGAAAGAAACCTTACATAACTAAGTGATGAATTGTTATATAAAAGAATAATAAATTCCTCCAGTCCACGTCATTTTATGTATCTTGATGGGATTTTTCCAATCTTGATACATGGCCTGGTTAGCTCTCAGTGGAGCCCAAGAAACTATTAAAAAAAAATCACAAAAAAACAAACAAATAGCACTCTTCAACTCCCTTCTTTCTTCTCTACTCTTTTTTGGGTGGGTGGGTATGGACAAAAATGGGAGGTCAAAAAATAAATAATTATTTTTATACCATCACTAAATATTATTAACTTGATGACTCCAGGTGATTTGCTCTCACACTTGGCTGAAAATCAAGGTATTGTAATAATAAGTAACAGTGCATTACTTTTTAACATTTTTGCATTCCATATTCTGTAACACATCCTGCACCACTATGTCATCCTTAAAGACAGCCCCCTCCCAGGAATGGCTCAAAGATGGTAAGCCCCACTCTTTGTTTACTGGTGAAAGTAATGCAGGGGCCCTTTCCTGGAGCCAGCTAAGTCAATCTCCCTCCAAGCAATTTGTGCACTCATGATGATATGTTCTCATCACCCTCCACTTGGCAACAGTTTCCTAAAACAAGACATTCCTATCACCATCACAGCCAAATTTTTAAAAAGATAAATGTCACTGCCACCCAGACCCAAAGGGGTAAATTTTTATTTAATAGTGAATAGATAGGGATGAAAGTAACTAGCATGAGGTTGGAGGATGTGCTGAAAATTAAAGGCCAAATGATTTTCTACAGTAGAAAAGCTGTCCTCCCTGGGAAATCTTATTTTCCAATTCATAAAGGGAGTGTATTCATCAAAAATAATTTTGCATCATCTTTTATAGCTCCTGCTTATCAATGCCTAGCTTTTATGGTTCTTTTCCCACCAAGGGAAGGGTACCAAATAACAGATGCCATTACAGAGACCACTACTGCTGTGCAAGAGACTTCCAGAATAACTACTTCCAAGTTAAGTTAGGCCTAAACTTTGAGAAAGGGAGCATCAGGTGTACATGCATTCTAAGGCCCCATACAGACTTACGGGCAGTGCTCATCAAGCAATGGCTGGTGAGTGGATATTTCACACTTGCTTAGCAATGTTACCAGATCGAGCAGTTCCAAGCAGCCATCACCTACCATTGGGCACCTGTGTTGTTTTCCACATGTGTGATGGGCACACTGCAGATCAACAGGCACAACCATTTCATGGTTTGCCCATTGTTTCCCTGCTTGTGAGGTCATCTACAATTGTGCCTTTCAATCACTCTAAATATTGGTTTAGAATATTATTTGCCCTTTCATCTGGATAGGGCCTAAGTTGCAAGATAATAAGAGTAAGATGGCCAGCTCCTTTCTGCCCTGTCTTCGACAACAGTTCTCTTATATTCTGACTTCAGAATCCCTACTCAAGGAAAACCACTGTCAAAAACCCATAGAGACACTGCCGGCCTTAACAAAATTTGAGACTTTGTCTCTTAATTTCACCTTAATTACACATAGATGGTTACACTTGAACTGTCACCAATGAGCCAATCACGAGTACTGCCTCTCTCGTCTGTTACCCTTTTCCTTGATTTTTTATTATTATTTTTTTATGTTATCTTATATTGCTGTTAATAATGTCAATAGCATTATAGTAATTATAATGTCCATAATAAAAATAACACCACTGATATACATAGCATTAGTAAAAAAATCCTGCAAATTCAAGAAGAGGTGAAATCAGGTAAGATCACAAGGTCTACTAATTGACTCCTTTGTGGCTAAGCAATTCCAGAGCCATCTATATTTCCCACTGACATTGATTTAAAAAGTCTAGGAGTGTGGGAGAGGTGATGGTCATACTTTGACATGCATGGCTCCATTATCTCAGATGTTTGAAAACCAGCACTGTAACTGCCTACAAGTTTCCAAGTGTCATTTTCCTAAGCTGCTACAGAAACTGTGAAAGAATCAACCTAGAAATGGCATTAACACCAAAAATGCCCCTGCACACTGCACACCTTACCAGCCTCCCTACAGGCTAGACTTTGTTCCTTGCAACTTCATTCTCCTCAGGCCAAAGAGGAGATTCAGTGAAGGTTTCCGAAACTTGAAGCTGCTGCTGTCGGAGTATACTTGGTCATGGAGAAGTATCGTATCACTGGGGGGAGGGGGACATATATATCTATATATTTGTTTTTCTATGGACCTTTGTAGTAAGATATTTTCTTTTTTTTTTCTTTACTGACTAGTTGAAGTTGTATAACACAGAGGATAATAGGCTCTAAATGCATTCTTCTCAATATCCTGACTCTCTGGCCATAACTTGTCCTTTTCATATGAGGCCCAGTCAGACAAAAGTGAAAGTTGGCTGTGGTAAATTTAACTGTTGTTTGCACTTCAGAAAAAGGATATTTACTGGACTGACAGGCTTCAGATTGGATACACATCCTCCTCAAGAAAGGACTCTACATTCCCTTAAAACAATTAAGAGATGTGCCTCTTCTAAATTTATCATTGATTATGTAAAAAATTCATTTTCTGGAAACTGAATATACATGAACAAGACAGACATGCAAAAAATGCTTATAAAGAATATAGATATATATTAACTCGTTTACATTCTGGAGGGTACAAGTTTTGATCCTATAGTGGTACTGTGTCCAGCCTAAAATAAGGAAAACTAGAAGCTAATGATAAATACCTGTTTAGACCATTATCTTCAGAAAACCCATGAATAGCAATAAACACATTGCAATTTAATGATTTGCTATGGAAACAAAGTGTAACTGGTATCACAGAGCTTACCTGAGGAATTGTAATATTTTTTACAAGTAAATATTCATCAAAAACTATGTCAAATATCAAAATATAGTTGATTTAAGTTTACTATACATTTTCTCTATAAATTATATTTCACAGTGTTGGTGTACAAAAGTAATTTATGTTAATTTTCAAGAATCTTTGTACATTTCCACACATCAGCAGTAAGATGGTTTTCTCCACAACTTACGGCAAAAAACCTGAAAAGAAAATTGAAGAAGTTAGAGAACTTTGTGATAAACATTCCCAACTCCTGTTTGTCTTATTTGTTTCACTGAAGCTAAATTTGGTTCATGGTATTTCAAGAGCTTGATTTCACATAACAGACAATGAATATAAATGCATATAAAGCAGCAAAACTCTTTAATATACAAGACTATATAACATGCATCTAGTTGTACAAATAATACAAAGACAATAATACAGCAGATCACAGTCTAATAGAAGGTATGATGTATGGAGGAGGACTTTGGGAGAGGATAAGAAGGATAGAGCAGGGTTCTTTCTTTCTTTCTTTCTTTCTTTCTTTCTTTCTTTCTTTCTTTCTTTCTTTCTTTCTTTCTTTCTTATCATAACCTGGTTTGATTTTGTATGCTATCTTCATAGCTCAGTATGTCCATTCTAACATATTTGTATGCAGCAATGTCCCTCCTCCCCTCAGACTCACTTGCTCTCACACTCACTCCATCATCATCATCATCATCATCAACATCATGAGGTGATCCACTGAAGATGAGCTTGCGACCCAGTACTTGGTTCCGTATTTTGAAGAACCCTGTAACAAGGTGCCAGAATTACTACTTCACACTCACACAAAGTTCCATTCACAAAAAAGAGGCAGGAAACATGACTAAATGGTTGGCTCTGGTAGAGGAGGTCTGACTAGGGGAACTGGGGAATAGGGATATACCAGATATACCAGTGGATACACATTTCTCACTACTAGTGCAAAAAAAAGTGTGGGGAGGATGCTAGTTTTTGAAACTGACCACTGATGACTTAGCAAGCCATAATAATGGTGAATAGTACTGGTGGTTAACTCATTCATGACAGGAGCCCCCACTTCCTTACTGAACCACAGGATGGGTGTGTGTGGAGTCTGCTGCATGAGGGAAAAATTTGAAACCTGGGAACCATAAAATTACCCTGCTCTCTATGCTCTTAGCTGCAGCTTAAATGGTTCTTTAGGTCATGAGGCTAAAGAAAGCCTACTTGAGAAGTTTCTCCTCAGTGGCATCCCCCCCAATCCCTTGTCTGTTGTTGTCGTGGGGGGGCTTAGGAGGCGGAGACTGGGACCCAATGATGGGGAACTCCCCAACCTTGGGACTCAGCCCTCGACTCAACTAATTATGCATGGTCTTTTTTTCCCTTCCCACTTGTTTCTGTCCCTTCACCAAACCCTTCTGCTATCCACCTCCTAAGGTGTGAGAGCCGTGCTGAAAGGATGAAAGGCTGACTTTGTGCCAGTCCTGAACGGCCTGAGGGAGCCATGGGCACGGTATTCCCCTGATTTAGATCTAGCCCTTACCTTAGACTGTTTTTATCCCCAACATAATCCAGGCTTACCATGGCCAGTAATGAAAATATATCCCCACTGTTAGGGGCAATGAGGCTTGCCCCTTTATCAAATAGCCCCAACGAAGTAAACCCACCCGATTCCCTGACCCCAGGCTCTCCTTTGACCACGGCTCCGAACACTGCAATAACTACCCCTTCATCAATGCCTACTAGTACAGTAGCCAACAATCAACCCTCAAGGAACATTTCCAATCTCCCAGCATGCTCAACTTCAACACCTCTACTCCCACAACCTCCAACATCAACCACCCCATCCTCCCTTATTAATACCTTACAGCCTTATTACCCACCTCTCCATAACACTACTTCCCCCAACACTACTCCATCTTCGTCACGCCCCCGCCCTTCTACCACCCCTATCTCTAAAACAATCTTGAATACTCTCTTCAGTGCAGCCAAATGGGACCGATTTTTTGTGATCCCTCCCACAGCTCCCTACTCTGACAACACCCTTCTCTTCCAACAATGCCTCCAAAAACAAGTAGGTAAAGTCTCTTTCCGTAGCCGACCCGACCGCTCCTGTCTTGTCACAGTAACATCCGAAAACCAAGCTATAGCATTAACAAAACTAACTGACCTATATGGTAACCCCATCCTAGCAGAACCCCATCCAACCCTCAATACTTGCACCGGAACAGTCTCAATCTCCCCAGCAAATTGCCCAATCTATGACAAAGATTGGTCAGATTGTGGAGAAGATCTACTTGCCTGTCTCACAGACTACAATGCAACATCAGTACAATGCTACTCCATTCCCCCCAGAGGTCATCGAAAGAAACCCACTAACATAGCCAAAATTACCTTCCGTAGACATGACCTTCCCTTTAACGTCTACATAGGAGGAGAATCCCTCCCTGTTCGTCCATACCAACCTCCTCCACGTCAGTGCCAAAATTGTTGGTGTCTAGGACACCCAGCCAAACATTGCCGTTCCACAGCCAGATGCCCACTATGTGCCCAACCTGGCCATACCCGATCTAACTGCTCTGCACAATCACGCACATGTGCCAACTGTGGCGTCCCCCATAATGTATTTTATAGGGGCTGTCCCACCTACAAATTTGAATCTGAGGTAGCAACTCTCAGATTCAAACTTGGACTCACACTACGTGAAGCCAGGCAGGAAGCACGTCGACGTGGATTCTCTCTTACTCCTTACTCCAGTAATACTGCTCATTCTACCACTTCTCCTAAACCCACCCCTCCTACATCTAACTCCCCCACTTCTACCTCCTACCTTCCCCAGTCAAACTCTTTTGCCATCCTAAATCCAGACACTCCAATCTCTACTACAGATACTCCAATCACCACTACAACCCCAACACCTTCCCCTCTCCCTCCTCGCACTACCCGTAACAGACAGAACAAACGTTCCACCCCCTCTTCCCCTACCACACAATCACCCCCACCATCCTTTGCCCGTACTCTTGATACACCAGTCCCCTCTTCCCCCCCTCACAAGAAATCCTTTATCCCCCAAAACTCCCCAACCAACTCCACAGAAGAAACTATTGAAAATATTCAAGATTACTTAATGAAAACTGACACTCAACCTACAACTGCTCCTTCCACACTCTAAGTAATTGCTGATATCCATCCTCCTCCTAACGATATCCCCCCTACACCCTACCCTCCTACCCCCTCCCAACACAGCCCATCCCCCCTGACCCCAACCCCGCCCACATTAACCCTCCCACCATCCCCTCTATCCCTTCCACTCCCTCCTGGATACACATGTGAATCCCTTATGTCACAAGTATCCCCTTCCTCAGACCCTCCATCTCCTAATACCCCTCCTGATAGAACACCAACTCCCACACCTCTCCCATCTCAAACCTCTAAGTCCTTATCCCACCCTCTAGCTGCTTCCCCTTCAAATTCTCCAACATGTACTACAATCTATAAATCAACAAAGGTATAACTATCCTTCATTGGAATATTCGCGGTTTCTGCTCCCACAGACCTGACCTTCGTCATATCCTTTCCTCTTATAACCCATCTATTGTATGCCTTCAAGAAACCTTTCTTATACATATCCTTTATCTAATCTAACACCCGACCTTAACCCTTTCACTCACTAATTCCTTTGCCCAGCTTAGACAACTAATCACTAACTCAACCACCCTTCACTAACATTAACTATAGTGCTACATGACCTTAGATGTCTAGCACATTTATCTTGCTTTTAACCATTAACCATTAACCATTCCTCAGTGGCATGGTGTGATAGGACATCATCCTGCTCTCAATGGGTTAAATGTCTCCCTCCACCTATTGACATTGATTGAAGAGAGACAAACAAAACACTCCATGCACTCACTGTGCTCGTATAAGGAGGTTGTGGTTTTCCTCTGCAGAAATACCATTGTCATTCTTCTGGCTGTCAACAAAATCCTTCTGCACCATCTGTAGAATTTCAAGAAAAGAATAGTTTTTTTTTTTTTTTTGGCAAAATTAAAATAGATAGCATTTTAGGATCACAACAAATGCATTTCAAATAACTATAGTAGAAGATTTAATTCCTGTGATGACTACAACACTATACATGGAAGTTTAAGATCTTAACAAAATCGTATCGACTGCTTTACCTCTAAAAATTAAATGGGTCCACACTGCCCTGTAAAATAACTACTGGAGACTGGCATTTTATCAACTATACATGTGTCCCAAACACTGTGAAAAATACACATGATCTTTGAGGAAGAAAGAATAAGCATCTTCCTAAAACATTTTTATGGTTTTCGGTAAGGATGAAACTATTCAAGAAAGCTACTAAATCAGGCAACTTGTTTTTCACGGTTTTTGCTGTAGCCTTTTCTTAATTTCAACATGCAATTTCACTGTGTAGCTTTTCTCTCTAAGCCACCTTAGAATAATTTTTAATTACCTCTGTCTTGTTCCTAATTTCCACTAACTTCAATCAGTAATCTTACCTTCTGCATATCTTCAGAGATATTATAATACTAAGCCTGGCAACTGTTAGATATGACCAAATCATCCTCAGAATGTCTGGTGTCAATTGTGGCTGGAAGCAAATAACAACTGCAGAGACTTCAAAGTTACTTGGCTGCAATCTCTTTTCTGTATCAATGAAAATTATAAAATCAATGTACTTTTCCAGTTCTATACAAAACATACTCTCTCAATTTTTTTTTTTTTTTTTTACTATATTAGTCCTAATAGGAATAGTTTGAACCAATAATCAAAATCAAGACACACTATGGATCATCACTCTTCCCTCTGAGAATATGATGACTGGAATATTGGTAAACTGCTCCAGCTGGTGATACTGGAAGTCATAATCCACCCTCTGCTAGTTAACTGCACGGCTGTCATGTTCTACACTTAGCTATCCAACTGCCCAGCTGTCAGGGCAGTCTCATCCAGAACTGGGTGTGTGTGTTGACTCAGCTGATGAGATGATTTGATTGGTAAGTCCTATCTGCAAAATATAAGGAGAAATAATTATGGATTTGAAGGTTAAAGAAACATTACTGTTCCTGAGTCATCCCCATAAAATATATAGTAATTTCTCGTAATGCACACCTGTGTCATTCAAAGTCCTCGCTTTACATAAAATTGAAATGCCTGACTGTACAAAAAGGCAAGGTACATTAGAACAAGGACTCAACAGAAATATGATAAATCAAATAAAACCCTCTACCCAGGCAAGGAAATAACTCAAAATTTGTTGTCCATTAGAACCAACAAGTACAGTATATTTAAAGATCAAAGCTATGTGTAGTAAATATATTTCACTTTATGGACTTTCCATAGCTTAAGCTCGTATTTCTGAAATGTAAAAATGGAAAAGTAGACTGGCATCACTCGTCTTCTTTGGTACAAATTTAACCATATTCATGTCATTTAAGCTCACTGGGAAGAAATATAACAAACAAGCTAAGAAACTGGTAGAGACTTTGTGTACTTCTGCTCTTGGTGATTTTTGCTTATATCTGACACATTCATACTATACTTCCCTAATGCAATAACACTCTGCATAAAAAGGGAGAAGTGTTAAAAATGTCTGATTTTCCTAGATGCAACATCAACCTATGCAGCAGGAATTTCAGCTAAAATAAAAACAAAACATGATTATTTCATGTAAAAATGATCAAACACTGTCTTGTATGTACTACTATCACCATTTAAAAAATAAATAATAATCCATTCTTTGAAAACTCATGACATGAATACTTAACCCAATGCTGGTGGGGAAACACATAATGTCCACTAAAATCTTATTTTGGGAATTAGTCTAGCACACAGATGACTCCACAGGTGTTCAGGTATTAAGGGTGCAATTAGTAGGGTCACCTCAATTCAATTTCCCTTTTCAGGAAAAGTGTCTTTTTTCTAATGCTATTAGTATCAACACTTAGTGTTATTATTGACATTTTGATCATTATTATGTTATTAACAGTACTAATAGCATATTAGACTAAAAAGAATATTTCCAAATATCAAGGAAAATGGGTAAACAGTTGACATAGGTAGGACTAATAATGGATTCCTTAGTGACTAAGCACTTACAGAGTCATCTATGTGCAAATACAATAAATATACTAAAATCACAGTAGACCTGGCATGTACATACTTGCCACCCCTTGTTGCACTGAATTACACTACAGATCACATTTCACATTGCCAGGAACAGACACCATCATTTCACAATATCATACCTGGCTTTAAGTATACAGATGACTCCAAGTGGCACACCATCACTACAGCAGCAAGAGCACCTCCTCAGAAAGCCTTTTCTCTTGTTTCCCTCACATCTATTACGGTCCCAATGGCCTTGTCACTCCCTGTAACTTCGGCTGTTGACCATCTTGGGAGCAGTCACATCATGTAGCCTGAAAATATTAGTTTTGTTCATTAACCCAATACCACCAGAGACTTTTAATACTTACTATACATAGGGCTCCACAAGCGCCTAGGCACCAAGAGGACAAGTAGTAGACTGAGTAACCTCAATAGTTTTACAAATTTGTTTCGGGTTATTTCCTGACGTTATTAATATCGATGCTGTTATCATTATGATAGACATTATAATCAATATTATCTTATAAACATTACTAATAGCAATATAAAATAAAAGAATATTTTCAAAAGTCAAATTAAAGGGTAAACAGGTAGTCATCCTTGGTAACAAAGCACTCGTGGAGCCAATTAAAAGTCAACTCACAGTGGGCATGGCATATAAGTACAGTTAGAAAAATAAGTATCACTACCCTTTACGCAACTAATATGAAAAATTGATGAAGTGTGGAATAGAGTGGCAAGGTAGTTAGCACCGTAATCAGGTGTTAACAGAGAAAAGTGTTCAATTTCCTCACTGAACACATGCAGAGATAATTTTTTTTTCTCTCAGACTGTACATGCCATCCCCAGTGGCATTAACCCATTGCCGCCGGGGAAAATGAACACAAAATGGGGGAATTGCAGTACTCATTTTTTATATTTTTGTGAAATATTTCTGTCCTTAGATGTCTCTGCTAGTCCTGATTTCACCTTTCCTTAAATTGGCGGGAAAAAAACGTATTTTTACTAGTGCTATAAATATAGATGGTGTTATTTTTAACGGCAAATTAGGATAACGTTAAATATTTTCGTAAATCGATGAAAAGGGTGAACGGGCGAGACAGGCAGTACTCGTAAATGGCTTATTGGATACTTAGTACAAGTGTAGCCATCTATGTGTAAAAACAATCGAACAAGACGACTCACAGTGGGCATGGCATGTATGTATGCCATCCCCGGCGGCAATTGGTTAACTTAACAATCAAAATTTCGCAATACAGATAATAAATTATTTTTGTCTACGATGATAATTCATCATTTTATACGTTGCCAAGTGATATATCAAAACTGGGGAATCAGAATAAAAAGAGAAAAAGAAAAAAAAAAAAGAAAAAAAGGAAATCACCGAACAAAAGCAAATTAAAATAAAGAACATAAAAAAAGAAAAGAAAGAAAAAGAAGAAGACAAAACTAGGAAGGAATGGTAGCCAAACATGGGAGAAGCAAACTCCCATCTCCCACATACATAAAATCCCTCATTAATGCCACAGTTGCCTTTTTTCCTTGTGGGTAATGAAGGGTATACTAACATGATTCCTACAATCTCAGTGGCATTATTCAAGGGAAAAGTTCTAGAAAAATAGGACACTGATTATCAATATTATGATGATAAGGTTTTCATTAACACACCTATGAGTTAAACATACTTTTTCATTCTTGCCAATAAAGTATTTCACACTTATAATTTTTATCCTTATTCATTACCTGGTCCAACATTTGTGGGAAAAAAAAACGAAAGATAAATGAAAAAAAAGAAAAAGAAAAAGAAAAAAAAGAGAAAAAATATCCTCCACTTTAGTTTTTTATGTGGTGTTTGATTGACAACCGATGAAGACAACGGAAACAACAAAAACCTTTTTTTCTATTATAGTTGGCCGAATAAATTCGCTGTCTCTTAAAAATGATCGAGCTGTTATCTATTAACACTGTAGTGCATTCATATATATATATATATATATATATATATATATATATATATATATATATACACACACACACACACACACACACACACACACACACACACACACACACACACACACACACACACACACACACACACACACACACACAGCATGTTCTTAAAAAAAAGAAGAAAAAACAACTCATAGCTTAATATCTGAAGTGAAATGCATAATAAAGTATTCCTTACCTTTATTTTTCAAACGAATGCTGAACCCCTAATTTATACTTCTTACAGTTTACATTCAAAGGATGAATATTCTAAAAAAAAAAAATTATAACAATCATAAAAAAATGGAATATAAAAGCATGTAAACATACGACACAACTGTCTTTTGCCTATATTTACTTTTTTCCCTCTCCATAACATCTACAAGTTGATTACAATTTACCCCAGTGTTTGTCCACAAAGCGTTTCATTTAGAAATAGTTGTGGAACATACGTTATATAGTATATATTTCATTATATCTTTTAAAATTCATTAATACTCACTGAACATCGAACAACGGTTGATAACCACGCTACTTTCACGTCCGTCACTTAGTTGCAGGCCAAATTAAGCCTAAATTGCTTTCGATGCTACCCCCCCCCCCCGCATCCTTTGCTCGTTGTCGTGGGGGGGGGGGGGTAGGAGACGGAGACTAAGGCCCAATGCTGGGGATTTCCCCAAACTTGGGTCTCACCCCTCGGCTCAACTAATTTTGCAGTCTTTTCTTCTTCCTCTCTCCTCTTATCTTCCCAACCCTCTCCCTGTCTAACTCCTAAGGTGTGAGAGCCGTGTTGAAAGGATGAAAGGAAGAGTTTGTGCCAGTCATGAATGGCCTCAGGGAGCCAGGGGCACGGTTAACTATCTAGCCCTTACCCCTCATGAGGGATGGATCGTTGATCTTCCCTACAAATTTCAGGCTTAAAATGGCCAGTAATGAGGATTTTGTACCCTTATTAGGGCCAATGAGGCTTGCTCCTTTATCATCTGAATTAAATTCCTCTGGTTTACCTCTTGACTCTCCTTCGATCTCGGCTCTGAACACTGCTACACTCCCATCGTCAAAATGTGCTGTCTACTTGAGCTATCCCATATCATCTACCCAGGTTATAATTCAACCTTCAAAAGACACCCCTTTCCATACTCCTAATATCCTCCAAACCAAATCTTGCACAATCTTCATTTTCTATCTCCTCCCTTATTACAACTCTTTGACCTTACTGCCCTAATTCCCACAGCACGATCACTCTACAGCACAATCACTCTACACCCCTCCCTCCTTCTCCCGCCTCACCCCTTTACAACTCCCACTTCTACAAAGCTTCTGAGTTTAGCCCAGCCAAGTGGGACCGATTTATTTGTGATTCCCAACAGCCACTTACTCCGATAATTCTTTCCTCTTTTAACCCAATAGCCCCCATTTGGCAAGAATACATGCCATGTCCGATTTTATTTATTGTATTTACACACAGATGGCTCTACAAGTGCTTAGTCACCAAAGAATCAGTTATTAGTCCTACCTAACTCACCTCTTTATTCTTTTCCTCAACTTTTGGAAAGGGTCTATTGCATTATTTCGTTGACTTAAGTGTTTAAGATTCAATTAACAATTTAATGATTATAACATCAATAACACTAATGACAGTATCGATATTACTTGTATTAAAAAGAAAAACAGAGTTTCCCACTAATTCAAGGAATGAGGAAATCAGGATCGGTAACTAGGGTCTACTGAAAGACTCCTTGGTGGCTGAGCACATATGGAGCCATCTGTATGTAACTCACACTCACACTCTCTCCTGCACATTTATACAGATTTTTCTTTGCTGTTGGATCACTTCTTTCAATTTGTCTTTCTCTTTCTTTCCCCACTGACTTTAATGCCTTCGAAACTTATTCATCTTCAAGTACCATTCCTCTTAGACGGTGACTCTACCACTAATTCCCAAGACCATTTTCGGAATTCTTTCTTTCTAACACTGACCTTATCCTCCTTACTTCACACCGCCCCACACACTCAAACCTTTTCATGCCTTGACCATTTCTCTTTACTCTCCTTCCCTTCACCTCGACTTTCACTGATCAGCTCTGGACCATCTTCCCTATAGTGATCACTTTCCCATTCTTCTCTCTCCTACTTCCTGTGTCCTGCTCCCTAACCTCCCCATACTGGTGCTTCGATAGAGCAGACTGGCGTAATTTTACCTCTCTCCCTCTTCCTCTATCTTCCTTCTCATTTACATAAGGAATACTTTCTTCTTTCACAGTCACTGTCCCGAGTGCCGCCTTCACAGCCATTTTCTGTACTTCCCAACCATACACATCTAAATGTGTTCGTTTCCTTGGTGGAACACAGAATGCTAGTAGATATGCATACAAGCGAAATGTCCCCAGCCAAACTTCAGCCCTTATCAATATCATTTCAGAATCTTTACAAGGTGTTACTTCAGCTAGGTCAATAATGGCTCTCACCTTTCTCCCCATTTTTATTCTATCAAAATAGCCAAGGGACGCACTCCCATCTCCTTCTCATCCTCTGCAGGGTCCTACAATGCCCCCTTCTCTTCTACTGATCACTTTTCTGCCTTACTGTCGTGCCACAACCCACACGAAGGCCTGACTGCATATATTACAATATGCTACATCTTCCATATACCTCCTTACCCATTTCTAATGACAATCTTCAATTGGACTACTGGAAACTTCCCTCCTCACTAGCTTGAAACACTTATCCTACCTTTCCTTAAACCTAATAAATCCATCACTCTCTCTGACGATTACTGTTGCTCTGACTAGCAGTTTGCACAAATTGCTAGAAAGAATGGTCAACCTACGACAAATGTGGTACCGTGAATCCAACAGTCTTTTCTCTTCTTCACTATTTGGATATCACATCTGCTTTTGCATGCCAAAACTTCTTATTAGAAGTTTTCTTAAGCTTGGAAAAGTCATATGATATACATGGTCATACTGTATTCTGAAACAGCTATCATGCTATCATCCAACATGTGTATACTCATTAAATCATACCTTCCAAGTCAAATTTGCCTCTTCAACTTCATCTTTTCATCAATATGAAGGTATCCCACAAGTGAGTGTACTTAGCAACAGATTATTCCTTCTAGCCGTAAACAGTTTAATTTCAGCACTACCACCAGGTCTCATATCTTCACTGCCTTTAGATGATTTTATCATCTATGCATCGGGATCTTCTATACCTACTCTCCATCAACTAATCCAGTCTTCAATATCTTCACTCTCTTCCTAGGCCTTTTCATTGAATCAGGCGTACCTTCCCTCTCTCAGTGCCATGCCCTTCTCTCTCTGTGGAGCTATGCATGTTTTCATCAATTTTCTCTCCCTAAACTAAATATCCTTCAGTCCCTTCCATTTACCTTTACCCCCTCTCTATGCCTTTCTCTGTCCGGTTGAATACACTTCCTTCCTATCCTCCCTATCCTCACCTCCGACCCCTACCTTTTCCTACCTATAAATACCCACCTTCGCTTATACCTTCCTCTCGTATCTGCTCCTCTGTTTTCCCTGATACACCAAAATCAGACACCTTTCCTTTTGTCCTTCTCACTCATTTTCTCAGCCATACCTCATCCACTCCTACAGTATTCACATTGATACAGATGACTCTAAATCTGGTTTTCCTATACTTTTAACTCATCACTCCCATCTGACTCCAGCATCCTTACAACAGAATTGTATGCGACCTTCCCTTCCTCATCCTTGACAATTTTCACCGACTCGAAATACTCATTATCTCTTATACAATCTCTACAGCCAATCAACCCTCTTGTCCGCAAGATTCAGGACCAACTATACAACACAAAACTATGTTTTTGCTGGATACCCATCCATATTGGGATCCCCGGCAATGAGCAAGCAGATACACTAGCTCACTCCGCTGTCCCATCAACCCAGATTTTCACATTTACCAGCCTCTACTATCCTCACTTCACCCTCCTCTACTTTACAACAGTGCTACATGATATTGGTGTCTTGCACATTTATTTGTTTTAACTATTAGCGTTGTTATCGATGCTTAAAGATTATTGAAAAAGAAGGAAAAAAAATGTAATAGAAAATAATATCCCATGGTCACTGCATAGTAATTAGGCTTTTCAGAAGTATATATAATTTTGCGAGGGTGAACCTTTTGGCGGGAAAGTAATACATCATATTTTTCTTTTTTTTAAACTTGGCGGGGGAATATCAGCCATTTTCTCTTAAAATGTTGACGGCACCCAACTACATCTACAATCTGATTATATATGTTACAAAGTTGCTCCTTGACTGAATATAGGGAAACAAATAAGCATTTGGGGATAGTATTTTATTCTGTTCTTCCGATGAGCGGATCAATTCAAAACGGTAATCACTGTGTAAATAATATGCATAGGGGAGGGCAAATAAAGGCAACAGTTAATTATACCATACATTTATTTATTATTTCATTATCATTATTTTTTCAAATAAATTTAATGGAAGCATCTATATTTCAGCAAGTGTAAGCTGTAAGCATTATAGCTATGTGAGGTTATTGAGGTTATTAATATTCAATTAGGAAATCAAGACATGCATTTCATTCTAAATATCAAAATATAAGTGGCAAAGTTTACTTATATTTTTTAACAAAGTTTAACAACCAGGGATAGCACTGTTATACTTGAATACACTGGTGTAACTGGTCATAACCTTTTTGATGGTCGCGAATTTACTCTGTCAGCTATTTACAGCTGTATTTATTCGTCCATATATCTATCACTTTTTTATGTCTAAACATTTGGTGTGTGTAAAATGATGGCAGTAGAAGGGAGTGCTTCCCTTTCTGCTAGTCATTATTCAACGAATCAGTCCTGAGGAAAGATGGTACTAAAGAATGAACGGTGTTCATTGCGACAGAGAAGAGGTATGAATGAAAATGACTATCCTCGTAGCAAAAGAGTTGTAATTAATGTGTTTCAATGTTTTTCTGATGTAGATATATTGAAAATAGGTCAAATACATGAGTTGGTCAAGAAAGTAGTAATGGATCCGAGTGAGGATAGCATGAAGGCAAATGTGCTAAGGTGTCTCCTTTGCCTTGAATCACTGAATGACATAGGTAATTAATGTGAGATTGAGTCAACTAAGAAAGTGGCATGGCGAGTGCGTCGGCGGCACAAGACCCATTTATTAAGTTCCCATCCATACTGAAGCGTCAGCATCAGGTGCGTCACGACCTAACAACCACTCATCTCCAAGCAACATGGGAGCCATATGTAGCTGTACGTGCTGCACAGAATGCGGGGACAATGACTGCCAAGGAGGCCGAAAATTCCAAGCCTTTAGAGTTACATTTCCACCCAACTCTTACACCAAAAGGCAGCATCCTCACATCTAGGGAAGTGACAGTAGGGAGTGTGGACACAATGGCTTCCCTGCCTGTTGTAGTTGTCTGTGCTCACCTTATGCCACCTTGTGGCTGTGGCAAATATCAGAGACCAGTTGTCTATGGCAGGGCACAAATTGTTGAGTAGTCTTGGGAGTCTGATCTGCCAGCTGCTACTGCTAATGAATGCATTCTTGTTGCAGGTGGGGTGCAGCTTCGG